TATACTAGCTTTTTGTCCATTGTCTTTCCTCAGTTGTTTCCTTCCACTTCCAGATATAAAAATTCCTATACAGTTGAATTTATATTAATGTTTATATATTCACTGTGCTTTAATATGTTTCTAGTTCTCTGGGTCCACCTTTACTAGAGATTTTTCCTTACAAACTTCAAGGTCAGCAAGTTACTCACTTATATCTTATGACCATTCCAAAATTTGCTTTTAAACCTTTCATTCTTCTGGTTTGAATTTTGCTGCCTGGCTTGCGGGCTCTTAATTCCCCAACAACCAACTGAACCTGCAGCCTTTGCAGTCAAAGTGTTAAGTCCTAAACACTGGACCACTAGGGTACTCCCTGGATTTGATTTTTGTGCATGACAGGACTTATGAAAACCAGTAGAAATTGCATTAAAACACACACACACACAAAATTATGTGTTACCTCTCTCCTTTAAGTTTTAAACTACCTGCTCCCAAACTAATTCAGAATCAGTAAGGTGAAAAACCTGTTGTGACAGGTAAAACATCATTAACCTCTGCTTAGGAAACATCTGCTAAGCAGACCCAGCCAGACTTTTGCTTTGCAGACTGAAGCTCATCTCGGGGGAGGTGGTTGTTGAAATGTTTTACACACCCTTGTTTTCTCAAATACCCAAACATTACATATTTCCTCTCCACCTAGACTTCAGCAATGTGGACACCAAGTTATTATAGCTCATGAAATAAACACATATCCCTGGGCTTTAATTTAAATTAGAATCCCTGAGACTGGGTGCTGGTATAAGCATTTTAGACAAGCTCCCCTGATGTGATCAAAAGCATTACAAGGGGAAAGTCACAGGTGTTAAGAAAGCAGAGCCTATTTCTTCTACACTCTCACAGAGCTTCTCACACGAATGCAGGGAAGTCTTAAGTTCTCCTATCTTGATGCCTTTGTACAAACTGTAACCTCCATTATATCCCACCCATTCTCCACACCTGACTCTGACATAAAATCTCTAATTAAAGTCCACCTTAAACAATCAGAACATTGGCTGACCCTAACTAATCTCTAATATTGAAAAATGTTAAGTATCTACTGAAATGATGTTTGAAATTTCTTGAATTGGAAGTAATTTTACTAATGACTCAATTTTTAGTAAGTTTGGGTTTTCAGAAATTTTATAGTACTTATGAGTACTTACATGAAATACTCAACTGAATCCCTGGCATCACCTAGGATTGATAATAGCTATGCCTAAGTATATCCATTTATCTTGGTTTCTGCATCCAAAGGACACACATATTTGCTTGACCAGCACGATGGTTGGATATTCATACTATGGGTACACAGGTCAGAAGCAGATGTCCTTGATACTTGGGGGTTTGCAGTCAAACATAGACGTCAAAGGACCAGGTGAGTAGTATAACCAGACTTGGATGTACACAAGCAACTTCTTTTTTTTAATAGTTTTCAGACTTTTAAAGCAGACTTACCACTGTGATGGGTTTTTTTGAATACCATTTCTTGATACCAAAATTATCAGTTTCCTTAGGGGCATGTTGTAATTTCCCAAACATAAAAAAAACAGAAGACCTATGAAGACCCAGTAAGCAGATCCTATATTTAGGTCTCTTGTATTTTTAAAGGAACTAGAATTAATCAAGATTGTGATTGCTGTCAGTCACATCAAGATTAACAGAAAAGTACTTTATAGATGCAATTTCACACTCAGGAAAGGATCCTAGTCCAGCCATTTAACAGGTGCCTAGTCTTAAGCCACCATTTTAAGACTGCACATATTTCGACTCCACCACTATAATTTCCTATATGGTATGTGACAAAATAAAGTAGCTTATTTCTTGACCTTTTTTCTACAGGAATGTATCTCTGAGCACATAGGGACATTTAAAGTCCTTGCATACTTCAGGCTCTCCTCTCAGGAAATAGACTACATGTTCCTGCATCCAAATAAAACACCACCCTCTCCTACTGTCAATATAAACCACTTAAAATGACACCACCACCACCAGAAGTCTCAAATTCTTAAACCTGCACTCAGTCTACTACTTTTAAACTTCACCATCAATTAATAAAGCCAAGTCACTCAGTTGTGTCCGACTCTTTGAGACCCCAGGGACTGTAGCCTACCAGTCTCCTCAGTCCACGGAATTCTCCAGGCAAGAGTACTGAAGTGGGCTGCCATTTCCTTCTTCAGGGATCTTCCCAACCCAGGGATCGAACTGGGGTCTCCCGCATTGCAGGCAGACGCTTTACCATCTGAGCCACAAAGGAAGCCCAATAAAGTTAAGACCTGACCACAAGTAAATCTTTGACTGCAGATGACAAACTGGCTTCAACTAGTTTTTAAAATATGCTCTGGGCCATGGCAAGACTGGTGACTATTTTTAGGGAAGACAAGAAGGAAAAAGAATTTAACTCCTATAGTTACATTGCTGAGGTCTCCAAATTCCTGGGACTGTTGACAGGAACAGACATGAAGCCTGAATTGGGGGCAATTTAAGATGTTATAAAAAAATTTATTATTCAGATCTCAAAGCAAAAAAATCAATCTCAGGTTGAAATCTTCCTTTATCTACTGGGCACTACTATGCAGAAACATATTAACAGCTAATATTAATGAAATGTTATCACAATTTCAGAATCAAACTAGCTTAGCAGATGACTGAGGCACGTGAGTAGACAAATGAGACAAGCTTTAGATTTTATTTATAATTTACGTGAATAAGATCCATCTCCTCAGTCTAGCTTCATTCCCTGTAGCTATAAAAAGATTATTTCAGGTCCTTGGCCTGGCGGTCAGGAGAAATTAACAGAAAAAGAAAAGGGCTGTGAGTGAAGATGCATTATCATGTTGTCCCAAATGCATAAGAGATCTTTTTCTCCTTGAAAGAAAGACCCCAAGGCCTCCATTGCACTTTTATTTGAATGTAATATTTGGGACAGTTGTCCCAGAGGGCTAATTCCCAATTTAATCTGAGGTCATAATAAAACAAACAACAAAACAGTATTTGGGATTTCAGTTTCTCACCCTTGTCATCAAGACTCACTGCCTCCCATCATCAGTATTTATTGAGCATTTACAGTGTACTAGGCACAATAGAACATACAGAAAACATTGTCCCTGCTCTTGAGGAGCTTACATTCTAGAAGAAAAAAAAAATACACCTCTTTTAAAATGGTTATTTTTGTTTGGTGTTTTCTGCAAGGTATTGAGGAAATAGTTGGTAGGGTGAGCTTTGGGTATTACTTAGCCCCATCATTATTTAAAGAGAGGAAGGGGAAGGAATTTAAAGGCAAAGACAATGACAGACCATTCAGGATAGGTAGGGTGTATAGGGAGATAACACAATCTCATCAACTCAGGAGAGATTCGCTGCAGTGAATAGGAAGAGGGAAATAGTCTGTGGGATGCAAGCAAAGGAAGCAGGGTGTCCTTAGACATTGAGTGGAGCCAGAAAGATCATGCGGCCTTTTCCCCAAGTACATGGCCACCAAGTAGGAATGGTTGGTGACAAGACAGAGGCTAAAAAAGGTAATCCTGTGCACCTGACAAATAGAAGAAAGGATCAAAATTGAAGGCAGGCTATTAAGAATATCAAGAAATTGTTAAAAACAAAAGTGATCTGGAAGCACGAAACTTACAGTTAATGCTACCCAATGTCATGATGGGCCAAGAACATTGTGGCTTCCTAAGTTAGAAAATGCCATATACCAAAATTTTAAATGGAACAACATTACTTTTTTCAATCAACTCCCCGTCTCTGAAAAAAATTTTCAGGGGGAGGGGGGAGTACAGGACATGGTTGGGAACAGTAGTAGTTATCTTAGTAGTATTTTACTGTTATGATAAACTTTGTATTCAAACTTGGTAAAAGCCCATTAGCTGCCAAGAGGGAATAAGGATTAAATTTCCAAAAATGTACAATTTTCTTTAGAGAAGTTTCAGAACCAAAAGACTAATTTACATGAAAAGCTGTAGAGAAAGTAGTTGAAAAGTCCATTCATAAAACTTTTATTCCACTTACATGAACTTAATACACGTGTTCTTAACAATTATGCTTGGATTGTTCATGAAAATCTCATAAGACATTAAACAAAGCTAGCCATCATCTCAAGTTATTTCCCTGTTAACTATTTTTTACAGCACATGCATGTTAGGCAAGTATCAAAAAAAAAAAAAAATCACAAAAGCAAAAAAAAAAAACCTAAAAAAAGTTAAATACATGGGTTTTTGTTTTACTGCTGTGCTTGATATACATGAAGTAATGAATATCAAGCAATTCATTTTTACTGCATCTTTACTTGTACATTTGTTCTTAGGTTGCCTAAAACATTTAAATACAAATAAAATGAGTGTAGCAAAAATAATGAAAGCAAACAGCAGGTAACTTTACAAATAATGGAATGTGAACCGTTTCTGCCCTTATCCAGAGTAAATTGGGTCACAACTAAAGGAACACTTCTGTAGCTGCAGTTAACAGTGTGCGCACTGCATCTGAGTATTCCACAGATAACACATGGTTTAACATGCAATATCCATGGGATATCCATTTCTACTACAGCTTTGTAAGTGCTCCAAACCTAAGAAGTACCCACAACTACACCTGTGACTGGAACCAATTATCCCTTTTATTCCCCACCAGGACATACCAATATGCAGGCAGTTTTCTTTGCTTAGACATGGAAGCAGTTTTAACACTGGCCCTTGTGAAGCCACAATGTACCAAAAGTACTATGCCAAACATTTATAACTTGTATAAAAATTCCACATCCCCATATTGGCCACCTCAAGATGAAAACAGATAACTCCCTAAATGTTAACTGGCTCTACTCCCCTAATATTAAACATAAAAACCACATGGGAAATATAGAAATTCAAATAGAAGTAACATAAACCTGTCATAAATCGTAAACAAAAAACTATTTGTGGGACAGCATGGATGACAAATGGTCTACTGTGTAAATTTTAGAATGAGGCAGACAAAAGTTGGAAGGCCGGTTAATTTTCCCCTCCTTCTCCCGCTTCAGCTTCGTCTCCTTGGGTATCCGATGTCCACAACTAGTTAAAAGAGAAACAAAGAATTTTCAGTATATTTCAGCTTGAAAATTTTTTATTATATACGCCAAGGTATAAGAATGTAAGCACAATTATTGGAAGGCTTAAAAAATAGCAGCACTGAAAATAGCCTCAAGATATAAAACACCTCCAGGAAACTATAATATCCTGTGATTAAACCATAATGGAAATTAATATGAAAAAGAATGTACGTATGTGTAGCTGAATCACTTTGCTGTACAGCAGAAATTAACACAACATCATAAATCAAGTATACTTTTAATTTTAAAAAACACCTCAATGTAACACATTTATTTCCTACCTAATCATTCTGCAAGCACAGTGACTACATACCAGAGTTGTCTTTAAATAACAAAATCAAATTAAGAAAATTCTTGGCTATTCATAGAAGGTAAAGAAAAAGTAGATGAAATCATAGAAATGCCAATTCTAAACATCAATAGCTATCAGATACAGACTGTCTTCAAAAGCTGCAGTAAGTTCAGTGCAACTAAACCAGACCCCTCAACTCGGCCCACGCTCAAGGACCTCAGGCTGACTGCTTCTACCTCGTAGCTTTAGACGCCCATTCTAAAGAGAGTCCCACACTCTATGACATTCAAGAATCAGGAGCAAGTCTGGACTAAAGTACAGTTTAACTTTACTAACATTTTTAGTTTAGGAAAACATACCTTTTATGAATTTGTCTGATTCAAAATACATAGTTAAACACAAAACAGTATGGTCAGAACCAAATCTTACAAGACGTAAAAACTGAACTATCTCAAAGTGGTAGGACTATAAAGCCTATTGATTTTTAGGTTAATGTTACAGCTTTTCATCAAGTAAAAAAGATGATTTTTATTGCTTCAAATATTAACAGTTTTTCTAAGTCTTACTACCCTACAATGATTTTTAGAGATAATTATAGAAGGACTATTTCAAGATGACCTTGAAATTCTACATTGCTTCACACTGGAAAATGAAGGAAGGGGAACCTTATTAATGTTTTTCTATCCCCCAAATTACCCATTAGTTTTATTAATCAAATATATTTCTGGCCTGGAAAAGGAGACTCTTTGAACAATCCATACAGTTAGCTGAATGATCTCTAGAAGTCTGTATGCTTTTATTAAACTGGGAGTCTTGTAAGACAAGATAAAATTATCCTTCAACATTATCTTTCCACTTTTAACTTTCAAGGATCCTTGCATTTTCCACATAAACATGAAAAACTGGATAAAAGGTGTTTCTCTTCTCAGGATTAGGTGTTGACAGTATTTGTCAACTGGATACAGACTCAAATATTAGTTTCTACAAAAAATTTCTTTGCTTGACATGTAAGTGATTGGACGATCAACCCTATAATGATAACAGGCGATGCAACCAGGGCTCAGAGAAGGCACATAATAGTGACAAAATCAGAATCTGAACCTTGGGTTTTCTTCTTAGTCAGCTGTTGTAGTATGCTCTTCAAGCTATACTGATATCAAAATTCAGCTTCAAGTATATATTTCAGATCAGGCCTTCTCAAAAAATGCAGACAATACAATTCAGTAGTGATTGGATCTCAAATTCTACCTTTTAGAAGTATCTCATCATTTCAAACCAGAAAAATATGAAAAATGAGCTAACAAACTGAAGTGCTTCTTTCATTTAAATGTACATAAAATTATTCACTCTTTATAATGGACTATACCATACCCTTTGGCAAATAATAACCTTCCAAGTGTATAGGAAGCCCCCAATTACACTTTCTAAAATAATTTTCAGTTTAATAATTAACAAGTATACAATATTGTTCAAAAAACTGCTGAGAACATTCAACACTAGAATATATAATTGGTTCAGAAAATTGGCAATGGACTAGATAAAGCTGAGAAAAGTGAAATGTATATAAATGATGTACAGTCCCCAAAGGAAAAGGACCTAAAGTTAATAAAAAAAAAAGTAGCACTAAACTATAATCTTCACCCCTAACTCTTTATCTGGCACATGACAGATACTTTAACACTTTTTTCACTCAAGCCTCCTAACTTCAAATTTATTATCTATGTGAAGAATATGAAAACCCATGAGCCCAAAGAGACGTATCAACCAACTGCAATATGTAGACTATTTGGATCTCAATGTAAGTAAAGAAAAAAAACTATTAGGGGGAAGAAAAAGACAATATACAACACAAAGAATACAAAGAAACAAGTGATAACTGAATGAGAGAAATTTACTATTAAGGAATTAACTGTGTACTTTCTCACTGTGATATTGGCATTGCGGTTTTAATGTTTTTCAGTCTAGAGCAGTAGGCCTCAACCTTTTTAGCACCAAGGATAAGTTTAGTGGAAGACAATTTTTCCATGGACCAGGGGCAAGAGATGTTTGGGGAAGATTTAAGTGTATTACATTTATTGCGCTCCTATGAGAATCTAGACAGCATATTAAAAAGCTGAGACATTACTTTGTCAACAAAAGTTCGTCTAGTCAAGGCTATGGTTTTTCTAGTAGTCATGTATGGATGTGACAGTTGGACTATAAAGAAAGCTGAGCACAGAAGAATGGATGCTTTTGAACCGTGGTGTTGGAGAGGACTCTTGAGAGTCCCTTGGACTGCAAGGAGATCCAACCAGGCCATCCTAAAGGAGATCAGTCCTGGGTGTTGATTGGAAGGACTGATGTTGAAGCTGAAACTCCAATATTTTGGCCACCTGATGTGAAGAACTGACTCATTTGAAAAGACCCTGATGTTGGGAAAGACTGAAGGCAGAAGGGGACGACAGAGGGTGAGATGGTTAGATGGCAACACTGACTCAATGGACATGAGTTTGGGTGAACTCTGGGAGTTGGTGATGGACAGGGAGGCCTGGCGTGCCACGGTTCATGGGGTCGCAAAGAGTCGGACACGACTGAGAGCTGAACTGAATGAGAATCTAAGTCACTGCTGATCTGACAGGAAGTGGAGCTCAGGCAGTAATACAAGTGATGGAGCTGTAAAAACAGATGAAGCTTCGCTCACTTGCCCACCCACCACTCACCTCCTGCTGTGCAGTCCAGTTCTTAACAGGCCACGGACCAGTACCAGTCCATGGACCAGGGGTTGGGGACCTCAGTCTACAGTATACCAAAAAGGGTAATCATGACCTGCCACAGTAAGTCATTTTCTTTTTTCCTAAGAGACTAGACAAAATACATGTCAGACTATGTAGAGTATCTGAAATCTTATTACTAAAGTTATTAATGCCCTACCCCTAGCTACATAAATACCTTTGCTGTTCAGTTGCTAAGTCATGTCCAACTCTTTTACAGTCCCATTAATGTAGCCCACCAGGCTCCTCTGTCCATGGTATTTCCCATGCAAGAATACTGGAGTAGGTTGCCATTTCCTTCTCCAGGGATTGAACCTGTGAGTCTCTTGCACTGGCAGGCAGATTCTTTACCTCTGATCCACACCAGAGAAGCCCTACATGAATATACAGGCAAGTTTATGGTCACCATTTTTAATGGACTTCAAAGATATCTTAAGCATACTTTTGAAACTAAAAGCAAAACTCTCCTGTGACTAAAATGCAAGAACAGAATTATTTGCATTGAAATGAAAAATAAAATGGCCTATATAACTGAAAGTTCAAAATCATGAATTACAAAATTATTTTAAAAACCTGAATTTTAATAAATATGTAACTAGTAAAAGGGCACATTTTTAGTCCTTGGTCTAATATTTCAGCTTCTGTAAGATGGTTTTCTTACAGTTTTTAAAGCAGATAGGATCTTTTATATTTACACCATACTGCAGTCTATTAAGCATGTATCATGTGTTTAAAAAAACCAATGTACATACATTAAAAAATACTTTATTGCTAAAAAAAAGTGCATCATCAATTGAGCCTTTAGCTGCTGAAATCTTTGTTGGAGGGTTTGAATCACTGAAAATTACCAAAACGTGACCCAGAGACATGAGATAAGCAAATGCTTTTGAGAGAATCCTGCTCAACAGTTTCAACAAGTCTTCAATTTGTAAAAACCACAATATCTGGAAGTACAATAAAACAGAAATGGGCCTATAATCTCTTCATTATTAATTAACCATTCACGGTGCTATTATCTACTTACTGTCAAATTATCTCTCAGTAACTGCATTATTAGCGTGCTGTCTTTGTATGACTCTTCACTTAATGTATCAAGTTCAGCAATGGCTTCATCAAATGCCTATGACCAAAAAAAGTCACATTTCAGTGCTCAAATAATGACGACTACTGAATTTCCACATTAACAGGTAAAAAATACATACTGTCTTTGCAAGAGAGCAGGCTTTCTCAGGGGAGTTCAGAATCTCATAATAGAACACAGAGAAGTTAAGGGCCAGACCCAGTCTGATAGGATGTGTTGGTTGCATTTCCTTTTTGCTGATTTCAAAAGCTTCTTGGTATGCTTGCTGTGACTGATCCACAATCCCTGGATAATAAAAGGCACCAAAATGTATCAATGAAAAGTACTTTGTTTTCATCCCTCAATCCAAACCTTTACTCAAAATCCAGTAATAAATTCTGAAATACTAAGCTGCAGCAACTTTAACTGGCTCCTAAATTTAAAAAAATTAGCTTCTCCTAGAAACCTACCCTAGTCACTGATCAATGTCAAGACAAAAATAACTCTGTAACCATCTCAGTATAATTTTTAATTAGTCTGTACTGCTCTACAGTTATGCTGTAATTACTATGTCTTAAAATTGTGAGGAAACATTCCTATACATAAAATTGACTTGTGAGCAATCACACATTTTATGAAACCAATTACTAGGCTGTAGGTATACAGCTGACCCTTGAACAACCTGGGGGCTCAGGGATGGATACCAACTGTTCATGCAGCTGAAAATCTGAGTTTAATTTTACAGCTGGCCCTTCACGTCCAACCTTGTATAGCATAGTACTATAATATTTACAGAAAAAAAAATCTGTGTAAATGGATCTGTGCAGCTCAATCTGTGTCCTTCAAGAGTCAACTGTACAGTCTCAGGAAAAAGGAAAAAAAGAAGGGAGGGAGAGGGACTGGGGGAAGAGTGAGAAACAGAGAGGGAAAGGGAGAAAGGACAGCAAGAAGTATGAGCAGAGTCCATTTGCTGCTCTTCATCCAACCTTCTAAGCAATTAAAAAATCACAGAACCATTGTGTACACTACAGAAGAGACCACCTCCGGCCTCTGTTACTTTGTAACGTCCAGCAAACAGGCTGAGGCAGCATACCTTTCTTGTCATCACCAGCGGCAACCTCAGCCAAGTAGCGGTAGTAGTCTCCTTTCATTTTCAAATAGAAGACTTTGCTCTCTGCTTGTGAAGCATTGGGGATCAAGAACTTTTCCAAAAGAGACTTGGGGAGAAAAGAAACAGTCAATTAAGACCTAAATACTCACAAAATTGAAAGAATCTGCATTTCCAAAACACACACAACTTATAAAATTTTAATACCCAGTCATTGCCAATAATACTACTTTTGAATGTAGTAGGGTCATAAATTTGTCGTTTAAAAGCAGAAGCAATTTGTACAGCAATACTTAAAATTTGAAATTAGTGTTCAGCTTACTATTTAAGGCTAATTTGAATACTGGCCTTTCCATCATAGTGCTTATTAATTTACATGCTGATAAAGACTGCATGTTTCAATGAATGTGAAAGCATGAAAGTTGATAAAACTTTGTTATGTATTGTTTTATTAATATATATTTAACAAACTGGCAAACTTTTCAGTTCAAGGTAGTCATGACACTAAAATGCAAAGAAGGTAGAAATTAACCTTTGAGACTGTGACGGTATATGACTTAAGCAGAAACCGTTACTATAATAGACACTACCACAGTCCATGACAGAGGAAGCAGAACAAAACTTCATTTTTAAGACTACAATTAAAGTAATGCCTTCTAAGGTAAAAAGCTATTCAAAGTAAAAGTTCTATTTTTCCTATCTAAATTAAAACACTGGTAGGAGTATGAGAATTAAAGATCTGAAGAGTAAACAGTTAGTTCATTAAAGTGATTCTCAGCTAATAAGATATATGTTTACCAATCACCCCAAACAACAAGTAAAACTTCACCCTACGTAATTCTGTTCAAAACTGTAACAATCTAATTAAATCCAAACATGTTAATAATTAAATTCTACAAATGATTTCAGAAAAACATGACTTCACTGTATTAGGGGGATTAAGGCACAATAAAATAATGATTTTCTTTAAGGAAGAGAAAGATAATATTTCATTAGTAGAATTAGGAAAAATGTTTATTGTTTTTAAAAATTCTCCACTTCTTACTAAATATCCTCTACAAATCAAAAGTCAATTTTCAACTGGGCTTAGTCCCAAACAAGTCTCACAGAAAGACTTGACTTTTTTTTAACAAGGAAAAAGGGTATTTAATTCTTGGTTTCTATTCTTATAGTTGTCCAGTAGTTTAGTCTATACAGCACTTACTTATATGCCAAACAGTTTGAAAAATGCTTTTAAATAGTAACTCTAACTTTTTATGTTTGTCCCATTATCAAGTTCCAAATGTTGAGTGGGTGAGTAAGCTTTAATCTGGCTTCTCTCCCCTTCCTACAACTTAAAACTACGTATACTCAAATGAACTGGTTAGTTCCAAGTTGGTAGTAGGAACAGGTTGCAATGCATTACAGAAAAAGGTTGGAGATGACAGAATTCAACCTGAAATAATGTTTCCTGTGATTATTAGCTGGCCTGAAATCAGAAGAGCACTTTGGTTAGGTAACAAAATTCTTATTACATGACACCCAAACTGTCATCTCTCAGCTGCAAAAGTGTTCTGTCATTCATTCCTTTATTGAGTTAAATTTTAAGGCTTCCTAGGTGGTGCTAACGGTAAAGAATGCACCTGCCAATCAATGCAGGAGATGCGGGTTTGACCCTTGGGTGGAGAAGATCCCCTGGAGTAGGAAATAGCAACCCACTCCAGTATTCTTCCCTGGAAAACCTCAAGGATAGAGAAGCCTGGCGGACTTCAGCCCATGGAGCCACAAAGAGTTGGACACAACTGAACATACACACATACACACACAAGTGTGAAACCTCAACCAAACTATAAATAAAGTAACCCTCTGGGTTTGAAACACCACTGCCTTCTCTGAAGGAGGAATGCCTGCAACCGAAGACTCAGCAGAATTCAAACTTCCTGCCATTTTGTCCCTTAGATACAATCACCCTCTTTTGAGGCATGAACACTATGAACACTAGGGTTGGTCTTTGAGGATCTGCCTCAGCAGCGTAAGAGCGTTCCAATCAGTATAGTGTTTTGTTTTTAAAATTAAATGCCCACGCCTTTTCAAGTTTTATATCTTAATACAAAATGCATTATTCATTCAACTATGGGAGTTCAGTTCAGTTGCTGGGTTGTGTCTGACTCTTTGCGACCCCATGAACTGCAGCACACCAGGCCTCCCTGTCCATCACCAACTCCCGGAGTCGACCCAAACCTATGTCAATTGAGTCGGTGATGCCATCCAACCATCTCATCTCTGTTGTCTCCTTTTCCTCCTGCCCTCAATCTTTCCCAGCATCAGGGTCTTTTCAAAGGAGTCAGCTCTTCGCATCAGGTGGCCAAAACATTGGAGTTTCGGCTTCAGTATCAGTCCTTCCAATGAACACCCAGGAGACCATGTAGCATGGCTTTGGAGTCTGTCTAGGTTTAGACTATGGCACTCCACACCTGGAAGAATTAATTCCACTTCTGACTGGCTAGGCTAAAGGTTATGCTATGAAGTCTAACTAAAGAAACAGTGTATTGCAATTAACCAGAATTCACAAATAACTCTAGATTAAACTGCTCTTTGGCTCATTTATGTAAATTTAAGATTATATGAAGAATATCTTCAAATGAAAGAAGTGACAAGTAAAAGCCTAACCATGAAATCAGTTCCCTATCTAGGTATTTCCAAGTCACGTTTTACTGCTTCAACGTAGGTTTTTTTTAATTGACTTATTCTCCAAAACATAAATGTCACTGTGTGAAGCACTGAAAACAGTGAGCAAGACAGAACAAGGGAAAAATGTCAAGCAGGGAAGGGGCTATAGAAACTAAGGATTAACACAGCCTGGTCATGTCCTTCTACTTTTCAACGACTTTTATCTAACCCATTGTAAAGATGAAGGGCACAAACATGTGCAGTTAGTTAAGGGTAAATCATTTAAAATAAGTATACAAACTTGGAGAAGTTACTTAGGCTGGGTGTCAATAAATGCCATGAGAATTTGTAACCCATCTTTTATGAGTGGTAGCTTCTCTCTCTCTAAAAACTACTGTTTTACATTAGGGTAACTCACATTGAGAATTTTTCAATTAGCAATTAAGTACCTCTTCGTCCAAGGTGAACACTGAATTTATCCATAACATCTGATTAAAATAATCACAACAAAAACTACTTTTTAAAGCTATTTATTAACCTGATGCACTTATCTCACACACTAATAAAGTAATGCTCAAAACTCTCCAAGCCAGGCTTCAACAATACGTGAATCATGAAATTCCAGATGTTCAAGCAGGCTTTAGAAAAGGCAGAGGAACCAGAGATCAAATTGCCAACATCTGCTGGATCACTGAAAAAGCAAGAGTTCCAGAAAAACATCTATTTGTTTTATTGACTATGCCAAAGTCTTTGACTGTGTGGATCATAATAAACTGTGGAAAATTCTGAATGGGAATACCAGACCATCTGACCTGAGTCTTGAGAAACCTGTATGCAGGTCAGGAAGCAACAGTTAGAACTGGACATGGAATAACAGACTGGTTCCAAATAGGGAAAAGAGTATGTCAAGGCTGTATATTGCCACCCTGCTTATTTAACTTATATGCAGAGTACATCATGAGAAACGCTGGGCTGGATGAAGCACAAGCTGCAATCAAGATTGCTGGGAGAAAGAGCAATAACCTCAGATATGCAGATGACACCACCCTTATGGCAGAAAGTGAAGAACTAAAGAGTTTCTTGATGAAGTGAAAGGAGAGTGAAAAAGTTGGTTTAAAACTCAACATTCAGAAAACTAATACCATGGCATCCAGTCCCATCACTTCATGGCCAACAGTGGCAGACTTTATTTTTTTGGGCTCTAAAATCACTGCAGATGGTGACTGCAGCCATGAAATTAAAAGATACTTACTCCTTGGAAGAAAAGTTATGACCAACCTAGAGAGCATATTAAAAAGCAGAGACATTACTTTGCCAACAAAGGTCCATCGAGTCAAGGCTATGGTTTTTCTAGTGGTCATGTGTGGATGTGAGAGTTGGATTATAAAGAAATCTGAGCACAGAATTGATGTTTTTGAACAGTGGTGTTGTTGGAGAAGACTCTTGAGAGTCTCTTGGACTGCAAGGAGATTCAACCAGTCCATCCTAAAGGAGATCAGTCCTGAGTGTTTATTGGAAGGACTGATGTTGAAGCTGAAACTCCAATACTTTGGCCACCTGATGGGAAGAGTTGACTCATTTGAAAAGACCCTGAAGCTGGGAAAGACCAAAGGTAGGAGAAGGGGACGACAGAGGACGAGATGGTTGGATGGCATCACTGACTCAATGGACATGAGTTTGGGTAGACTCCGGGAGTTGGTGATGGACAGGGAGGCCTGGCGTGCTGCACAGTCCATGGGGTTGCAAAGAGTCGGGACTCGACTGAGCAAGTGAACTGAACCTACAAGTAACAAAAGGCAAAAGTTAGGCTGCTTACTGGCCTAATGATAGACTAAAAGGACCAAGTGTCAACACAGTGGTGAATGTTTCTGATAAAATGCTGACTACAAAAAGTTGAAAAAGCAAACTCATCACTCTGTACCCATTAAATAATACATGCAGTTCTTTGTGTCAACTATACCTCAGTAAAGCTGTTCAAAATAAAAAGTTGAGAAAGGGACACATGACAAACTTAAAATCTTTAATGACATAAAGGTAAAAAAATAAGATTTAAACAACAAAAAAAAAAGCAAGACAGACTGGATTAAAGATTAAATTTGGTTCAAAAGGCTAACTGTGAAAGAACAGAATTGTGGCATACTGACTCCAGAGATGGCCTCCACCATGCTCCTGAGTCAGGGTTAACTTTGTTGATTAGCTTTAACAAAACAGAATACGATAAAGAGGACTCCCATTCCAGTTCCAGACCTAACCCTTATGAGGACTAGCAGTTTCCTCTATTGCTCTCTTTGAGCTCTAAGCCAGCGTTAAAAAAACAACAACAACAAAAACTATCCTCCTAGAGAGAAAGGTCAAGTCAGCCCCAGTCATGAGACATGTTTAGTGAAGCCACATGGGTACTTCAGACCCAGCTGAAGACAGCAATGAATGACTACAGCCAACACCACGTGAAAAAATGTC